GAGTGATTCCAGTTTGCACAGGGAATGGGAGTGATTCCTGTGTGCACAGGGAATGGGAGTGATTCCAGTTTGCACAGGGAATGGGAGTGATTCCTGTGTGCACAGGGAATGGGAGTGATTCCTGTGTGCACAGGGAATGGGAGTGATTCCTGTGTGCACAGGGAATGGGAATGATTCCTGTGTGCACAGGGAATGGGAATGATTCCTGTGTGCACAGGGAATGGGAATGATTCCTGTGTGCACAGGGAATGGGAGTGATTCCAGTCTGCACAGGGAATGGGAGTGATTCCTGTGTGCACAGGGAACAGGAATTTGCCCCCTCTGGCCTCTCCTCCCTGGGGACGAGCTTCCACCTGGTGTTAACACCAACCCAAGCGTTTGGAATCCCTGCAGGATCAGAGCAACACCTGGACGTGGACATTCCTGTCACCCTCCACAGGCTGCTGGGAACAGGGACATTTTTGGGAGCTGCACAAACTCCCGGGAAGTGCCAGCAGGGAAGAAACCCCAGTGCCTTCGTCAGCAGGAGGGGAAAAGAACAAAGCAGGCTCTCCCCAAATCCCTGTCAGCTGCTGCAGCAGCAGAACCTGGGAGAAGCAGGACATGATCCATCCCTGCAGCAGGACATGATCCATCCCTGAAGCAGGACGTGATCCATCCCTGAAGCAGGACGTGATCCATCCCTGAAGCAGGACATGATCCATCCCTGAAGCAGGACATGATCCATCCCTGAAGCAGGACCTGATCCATCCCTGAAGCAGGACGTGATCCACCCCTGAAGCAGGACATGATCCATCCCTGAAGCAGGACATGATCCACCCCTGAAGCAGGATGTGATCCATCCCTGAGCCCCAGCCCGGGGTGACCCAGCCCTGCCCCAAGCAGCTTTTGTAGGATCAGAGCAGCCCCAGGGCTGATCCCGCTCTGCTGAGCCATCTGCCACTTCTCAGGGCTGAGAGGAACCTCGGGATAAGGAAATAAAGACAGGAATTTTGACCCAGGGACTTGCCCACGCAGCCCTGCTGGGGGAAGCAGCGTTCCTGCTGCAGGGCTCCCTCTCAGGAGCTGGGAAATGGGGACAGGCTGGATTTGTGGCTCCTTGTGCAATCCCACAGCCTGGCTGCTGAGGAAGGCATTTCCTCAGGACCAGAGACTTTGTCAGCAGGAGATAACTTTGTCCAACACAAGTTAAAATTAACTTTTATCCAATATCCCATCCTTTTTATGCCATCTACATTTGGGGAAAATATCCCTCTTTCAGGTCATGACTTACGTGAGCCTATTTTGACATAATTATTCCATTTCTGCCACTATACCTTAATTTAGTGTCCTGACAATTTATATTTTTATTTATCCTGCACTCCCAAGCTGGTTTCCCTGGATGTGACCCCTCACATTCTGGCACACAGGACACACACACAGTTTTCCAGGTGGGATGAGGGTGGTTCCACACACTCAGCATCCCCCCTCCCACAGGGCTTTTCCTACTCCCTCTGAGCAGCCTGAATTCCTCCTGGGAGCACCTGGAATATTCCAGCTCCACAGGCAGCTGGGAGAAGAGGGAATGACCCATTCCACAGGGACAGGGCAGCATGGCTGTGTGGAGTCACATCAAAAATCCAGTGGTTCCATTTCCTTCTCCAGCAATATCCTCAATCCCTTGGCACAGGTATTTCCCAAGGCAGAAGAGCTGCCCAAAAGTATGGAAAAGCAGATTGAGAGCAGAGGGGGAGCAGCAAAGGTTCAGATAGGAATTTGTGGGCTGGTCATTCCAGCCTGGAATTCAGCATTAAAACCATTCCCTGTGTCCTGTCCCTCCAGGCCTTGTCCCCAGTCCCTCTCCAGCTCTCCTGGAGCCCCTCCAGGCCCTGCCAGGGGCTCTGAGCTCTCCTGGATCCTTCTCCTCTCCAGGTGAGCACCCCCAGCTCTCCCAGCCTGGCTCCAGAGTCCTCTCCAGGCTGGGCATTCCCAGCTCTCCCAGCCTGGCTCCAGAGGGGCTCCAGCCCTGCAGCAGCTCCGGGGGCTCCTCTGGGCTCTCTCCAGCAGCTCCAGGAGCTGGGGCAGCTCTGCAGGTGGGGCCTCACCTGGGAGGGCAGAATTCCCCCTCTCTGCTGCCCAGACTGGGAGAGCAGCCCAGGAGGTTCAGGATCCCAGGAAGTTCAGGATGCCCAGAGGGATGGGCAGTGGATCTCCCCCACCCCAGCCACATCCTGCTCCCAGGGCTCTCCCCAGCTCTTTGTGCTGGGACTGCCCCACCCCAGGGGCAGGGATTGGTGAGCAAAGGCAGCTGAGCGCCCATTAAAGGCTGTTTTTCATGCATGGGATGTTTTGCCCATTCCCCAGTGGCTCCAACCACCTGGAGCCAGGGGCTGAGCCACCCCAAAATCCAAATCCCAGACTGCAGCACTGCCCCCTCCATGGGGACCCATCCCATGGCTCTGCCTTCCACAGCTCGGGATGGACCCAGCACTCACTGAGAGGGATTGGGAATCCTTGTTGTCCCTGCTGCTCCAAAATGTGATTGGGTTTTTGATAAACTCTGGAAATGCCCAATAAACTCACTGGATTTACATAAATATTCCTCAACAGAGCCTGCTCACAGCACCACTCATGGTTCATAAACCCACGTGCTCCTAATAAATCTGACAGAGGTTTCTGCTTTTAAATTCCATAAAAAGAACCCAAATTCTCCACACAGCTGAAGGTTACAGCACTGCAGAATCTTCCTTTGTGTCTCAAGGTCAAAATTCATTTACCAAGAGCTGCTGTTCCCTCTGCAGGAGCAGATAAACCACAGGGTTTAGGGTAAAACTCAGCAAATTAAGGCCCAACACCATTTCCAAATGTGTTGCACTGTTAAATGGGAAATAAAGCACACCACAGATGCTTCCAATAATTCCAGTTTTGAGTCAATTTTCTCTCCTTTGTCTTAAAGAGTTTTTGATGTGCAGCCCCAATATTGTGTCTCTCTCTGTTTTCAATAATTTTCTATTACCTCAGCAATATAAACTGTCCTGCAATGGGCTGAACTTTAATCTGGGGGAGATCAAACAGGCAGAAATACCATGGGCTGGAGAGTGACCAACTGGGGGGCAATATTCTCTCTCCTCCTATAAAAGACAGCCCACAGCAAGATAAAAAATTGCTGCTTGGATTGCACAGACATCACATCTTTTGAGAGGCTTCAGGCCCATGGAAAGGGAATTTTCCCTTTTTTTCCAGGGATGTTCTGCAGCAGAACCAGCTGCTCATTCCACCCCCTGACCACAGAACCATGAATTCATAAAGAAACACTGGTTAAAATACTGTAACACACAAGAAAGATGCTGTCAAATTTTTCTGCAAATAAAAATTGCCCCTTTTTTTTTGTCTAGCACTTTTGAAAAAATATTTTGTTGTTGTGCAAAAATGTTCTTTAGAGCAGCTGTGTTCAAAGCCTCTTTTTGCTGGCTCAGGACTCTGCTTTATAACCCCTGTGCTCACAGCAGAACCACCTGGGAGCTTGGGCTGCACCATCAAATCCCTCAAATCAACGGGATAATGGGAAGGAATTGTTCCCTGGGAGGGTGGGCAGGCCCTGGGCTGGAATTCCCAGAGCAGCTGTGGCTGCCCCTGGATCCCTGGCAGTGTCCCAGGCCAGGCTGGAGCAGCCTGGGACAGTGGGAGGTGTCCCTGCCATGGGGATGGGGTGGGATTGAAGGTCCCTCCCAAGCCAAAGCATCTCCTTTGGATGCACGACCTCATCTGGAGGAGGCAAAGCCAAAGCTCAGGAACCCTGAGCTGAATCCTGCCCAAAAGCCAAATTCCTCCTGCTGAAGGTGCAGGAACGAGAGCCAATGGATGTGGGAGGTAAGCACACACTGCAGAGCCCTGGATCCAGCAGGAGTTTGTGCTTGGAGTGTTCTCCTGGCAGGCTGGAGCTGGGGAGGGTTTCAGGGCTCTCCTGGTGAATGGAGATCACAGGACAAGGAAATGGGATCGAGGATTTCCAAACCTTCCTGGAAATGCTTGTTCCTGCAAAGCAAGGCACAGATTCCCTCCTGACCTTATCCCTGAATAAACACAAATCCTGGGGAGTTCTGAGCTTTCCAGCCCTCGTTTCTGCACAGGCAGCTTTGGGCTTTTCCTCTCAATCCAGAGAATGCAGAATTCCAGCCCAGTTCGCTCCTCTGTGGGAACAAAGGATCCAAATCCCCATTTCAGGCTCTGCCTCAGTGGTCTTTACATCAGCAAATATTTACTCTCTTTCACAGCAACACAAGCAGCCTGGAGGGGATGAGATTGTCCAGGCTGAAGGCTCAGTAAACACCGTTTATCCAGAGTTTTATTCCCACTCCTCCAGAGCTCCTCCATCCAGCCAAGACTGCTGCATTTCCAACAGCCCTGGCCGTGCTCTCTCCTTGAAGAAGGAAGGGATGATGATTTAGCATCTGGAATTTTCCCCTCTCCCTTTGTTTGCCACAAAACCAACTTTCATCCCATGGCTGCGTTCCCACCTGAGGAGCGACCCCTCCATTTCTGGAAACATTTCTTTTCCACATGAGCTCATCAGTTCCTCCAGGTTTTCCCCTCTCGTCTCTCCTGCCTCTGTGTGTTACCTCCCTCTGCATCAGCTGTGAGCCAGACTGCGATTCCAGCCTCAGAATTCCCAGGTTTCCCCAGCTGAGAGGGAGGGAGGGCAGGGAGAGGTCTTCCCGAGGCTTTCCAGGTGTGTTGCTCAGAGCTGGTTCTTACCTAAAAATCCTTTAACCTCAAGGACCCAGCTTTGAAATAAAGGGGAAACCTCAAACTGCGCCGTGAGCGGTTTGAACGTAAACCACAAAGCGTGTGAGGGATTATTTTATGATCCCACTGCTGCTCCTGAAGGATTTGGTTATTCCTAATTCCTGGTTAAAGCCAAGGATGCTGATGGCAGCTCAGCTTCCCTGGAAACTGGGAGCCAGGGATCCTTCCACGTCCTTCAGGATGGAGGAAATGCCGACGTGTTCGTGGTAAAACAATGTTTTAATAAACAGCAGCATAAAATAATCAGTGTTTAATATCATCTCTGGCACGTGAAATACAAAAATGCACATATCTCAGTTATAAAATAGCCTTTGTTATTACATTTTCTTTTTCATGCTTGCCTAATTGAAATGCCCGTAATTAATAACTCAATCATCAAGTAATACAGTGATTAAACGCATGCAGTGAAAACAAAGAAAGATATTTGTATAAGGTAGTGGCTGAGTATCACCATAATATATTTCAGGAACATCTACATCAGGGTAAAAATCAAAAGAAACAGCCCCAAGATATAAAATGCAGAGATGTATTTTCACTTCTGCTGTACAAAAAACATCATCACACTTTTGTGCAAAAAAGATAAAAATAAAGTCCTATTATACAACATTGTCGACTGAGCAAAAAGATTGTTTTTGTGGACAATAAAAATATTATTCAGTACAAAAAAAAGAGTCTGTGGAAAACGTACCGTACACAGCACGTGTGTAACTCATTAAAGTGGTTTCAAATGAAGAATCTCGATTGGTTCTACCTGAATGGGTTCTTTAATGACACAAATGGTGCATTTCTAAGTGGAAAATCAGCACTAATTCACATTATTAGACACAATTGCTATCGATGGATTTGCTGCCTGATGGAATGTGAGCCTCCCTTTTTCCAGGGTTACTGGAGTCAGAGTCACTGAAATGACACAATAAATATTCCTGGGAAAGCTGATTGTCATCTCTAAAACTGTGGTTTGGCGCTTTTCCATTACACAGTTGCATAGCAACAAAAGGATATAAAATTCCTGCTTGAGCGACTAGATCATGAAATGCTATCTTTGAAGAAGTTGATTCAGGTTCTGAAATTAAAGCCCTTTAATTTCATTTCCTTTAAGGCAATTCCTTAAGAGCTCCAGCTGTCCTCAGCAGCCAGCAGCAGATGAGGTTTGTAGACTGCAAGCTGATAACTCCAGCATTTGTGCTGTCACACAAATGACATTTTTTGGTATGAATCTGAGCTCAGACTCCCAACCAAACCAAAGACCAAAGTCCCACCTGAAGTAATCGATTCAGCTCTCAGATCATACATTTGAAACACAATCCTCGACTGCAACATTTACAAATATTTTCCCTATTGGCACTGAAATTGCACACCCAGATCTCTGAATCTTTGCATCTCCTAAAAAAAGAGACAAATATTAAAATATGGTTTTCAGTATTAAAAAAAAGTTCCTGTGATTCAAACCACGCCGGAGCTTCAAAAAGCTGTGAAAAAGCATTGGATAAAATGTTTTCATTTTTAAAAAACCCCTCAGATTCCCTCTGCCCCTCTTTGAATTGTTGGTGGCACTTGGAGAAACGTGGCCAAGGCTGAGGATTCCCACCACGAGGATCCTTCTGGTTGTGCCTGCCCATCCTGGCGAGCAGTGAAGCTTCACAGAAGACACTTTGCTGCAATGTCTGTCCAACAACCAGAAAAGGACCTCCAATAAAATATTTGAATAGAAAAAAAAAAAAAAAAAAATCTCTCCTACCCCTTCCGAGTCTGAGTCTAGAGGGTTCTATTTACAAAGGCCTCGCGTATTTACAACTCCGCCGAGATCACCGAGTCGTTGGGTCCGTGGATGCTGGAGTCCCCCAACAGGGAAGGCTGCTTGGAGTCCATTTTGTAGGGTTTCTGAGTTTTATTGCCAAACACCGTCATCCCCATCCCCGCCGGGTGGCTGGGAATGGCCATGTGGGATAGCAAGGGAATGTTGGCTTCCTGGTTGGAGCCCGACGACGGCAGGCTGGTGACGTGGCCCGTGCTGGTGGAGCCGCTGGCGCTGCTGGGCGAGCGGCTCTTGGGAGGGGGGCAGTGCTGGATCACCCTGGGGGGAGCCTGCGGGGGGTAGTGGGGCGCGGGGAAGGCGGCGTAGCCCGGCGGGATGGGGTACCCGTTGATGGGGATGTAGCGCTGGTTCTGCGCCAGCGGCGGCCCCATGAACCCCGCCAGCTGGCCCTGGGGGATGCCCTGCGCCGGGAACATGTAGTTGGGGTACCTGGGGTTGCTGAGGTTGCTGACGGGGCTGGCGCTCAGGGAGGTGGTCTGGGTGGTGGCGTTGCCGCCCGACGGGGTGGTGGAGCTGGTGTGGCTGGAGAGGCCCTCCCAGGAGCGCAGGCGCGCGTGGATCTCCTTGAAGCGCGGCCGGCGGGAGGGCAGGTCGTGCCAGCACTCCGTCATCAGGCTGTACATCCTGGGGGGACAGTCCTCGGAGCACGGCAGCAGCTGGCGCTTCCGGATCATCTCGATGACCTCCTGGTTGCTGAACCCGTAATAGGGCTGAAGGCCGAAGCTGAATATTTCCCAGAGAACCACCCCGAAGGACCAAATGTCGGAGTCGGAGGAGAACTTGCCGTACATGATGGCCTCGGGGGGCATCCAGCGGATGGGCAGCAGGGACTTGTTCTGCACCCTGTAGTAATCGGCCGAGTAGATCTCCCTGGAGAGCCCCAGGTCGGAGATCTTCACGTGGAGCTGCTCCCCGATCAGGATGTTGCGGGCGGCCAGGTCCTTGTGGACGAAGAAGTGTCCGGCCAGGTACTCCATGCCGGCGGCGATCTGCACGGCGATGTGCAGGAAGTCGCCGTGGTCCAGGCTGGACTTGACCGTGCCGTCCTCGTCGCTGCTGCAGCCCACGTCGGAGTGGGGCGAGCGCATGACCAGGAACTCGTGCAGGTCGCCCTGGTTGGTGTACTCGAAGAGCAGGCACACGGGCTGCTCCTGCGTCACCACGCCCAGCAGGCACACGATGTTGGGGTGGTGCAGCTCAGCCATCAGGGACGCTTCCTGCTGGAATTCCGCCCACTGCTGAGGGTTGTTGAAGTCCTTGAGGGTCTTGATGGCCACGAGCTGGGCGTGGTCCATGCCCGGCAGGTAGAGGTGGCCCTTGTAGATCTTGCCAAAAGCGCACTCCCCCAGCTCCTCCATGAAGCGAACGGCGGAGAGGGGCAGCTCCTTGGCTTTGCTCTGTGACAGAAACACCAATAACAGGTCAGGACTGAAAAGAGCCTTTTTAAAGTGAAATCTCTCAGTGCAGGATGCATGGGAGCCAAGGAGATGGACACGAGAGCAGTGATCCCACTGGTGGCAGGCACAGCCCGAGGGACACCGGATCCAAATGGAATCACTAGGATCCAAATGGCATCACCAGGATCCAAGCGTGATCACCAGGATCCAAATGGCATCACCAGGATCCAAACGGGATCACCAGGATACAGAATCACTGGGATCCAAACAGAATCACCAGGATCCCATTCTCCCAAAGGTAACAAAAAGAATTCCTTTCCAGCCTCTCCACAAGGTCAGACACAACAAGAATTGGATCCACATATATGCAGGGACCATCAGCATCTCAACATTTGGCCTTGGGCATTTCTGTACTTCCAATTGAATGTGACTAATTTCAGGAATTGGGGCAATTCCCATGCTCTAAGAGGTCCATGCTGAAGTGTTTTCTAGGCCAGGCCCTGGAGTTTTAGCAGGAAAAAAAATGCTTTTGTTTTAAAGACCATGTCCTTGTAGCCAATTCTCCCTTGACTTTGCTGTTAACCCTTCCAGGTACAGCAGAGCCTGTTTCTGTTCCCACTTTCCTGTTCCATCCTGAGACTCTGACAGTGAGTTTCTCAAAGGGGAAAGGCAAACCTTTTAAACATTTATTGCCCTTTGGTGTGCAGACATTCACTCCTGGGCCATAAAGAACCTGTATTATTCCCAACTTCCACTTGTGCTTGTAACACCCAAACGCACTCATTTAGGGCCCTCAGTAAATCCACAGGTAGTAATTTAAGGTTAATGAGTTTGGGATTTAGGTTCTGTAAATTAGTGTAAACATTAGCATTTGCATTCCTGAAATCATGCAAGGCCAGCTTTCCAGTGGCAATGTGGGCAAAAAACCTGACATTTCAAATAATCATAGAAAAAAGCAGTTTTTGCATGAATTAATTCTGATTGTATTGATCACTTATGACTTTTATACAAACACTGCATTAATAACCATAATAATGATAATAATAATAATAATAATAAAGCCATTTAAGCAGGCAGCCCAGTAGACTGCACAGTGATGGCAGGAAATTAGCTATATTGTTGAGGAACAGATGGTTTATATTACCCAAATCCTTTAGGCTAAAACTTGTTTAGGTCTGGCATATTGTAAATTATATTTTAGTAATGAAAGTGAAATGACCTCTGTCTGACCTGAGCCTGGGTCCGTCTGTTTGAACCAACAGAGTGGAAAACTGGGGGAAGAAAATGAAGTCATAAAGTTTTGGCAGGAAGGGCTCATTTGGAGGGGAGCAGTTGTAAATCTGCTCAGCTTTTGTTTGACAAGTATTTGTCACACACGGGTGTCCAAAATGTAGGGAAGTGTAAAATACACAAGAGGCAGCAGGTCAGGGGAAAGGGAGAAGGAAATCCACCCCTTCCATCTCTTCTTCAGCTCCAGGACAAAATGTCCCTAATTTATGATATTTTTGAAGGCAATTAAAATCCCTTAAAACTGGAGGAAATGCTAACATTCCTGTTTATCCAAGCAGACAACTGCCTCAGTGGGAGCTTGAAGCTTAAATGTGTTTTCACCCAAAGCTGACATCAATTTTCAAAATAAGATTCCATTTCCTTTCCTTGAAAATATTGTTTGAAAGGCAATCAAAACACTGGAGACAGGGAGAGCTGGCTTTCCCAGTGGGAAAATCCCGAATTAGCATAAATAAATGAAAATATTCCTGCAGCACATGACTTGCAAATTGAAAGGAAAGAGAGCGGTCAATATTTGCAAACATTTCCAGGAATTTCTGCTTTCCTGCGCTGGGAGTGCCAGCAGGAAAGGTGGGAATTGCATCCTCAATAAAAGGATGCTGGCATTCCCATTATCTTTAGGATTGAACCCCAAATTCCCAGCAGAACACGGACAAGAGGCAACCCTAAATTTAACAAAATATTCCAGAAGGTTGGATGGAAGGTGCAGTTTGGACGCTGACTTTATTAAAAGTTTTTTTATGCTACCAACATTTTGAGCTAAAACCACTCCAAGCTGTACAGGAAGGCTGGAATTGGGAACTTCCAAGGAAAATGAAGATAAATTCACCAGGCCAGTGTGTGTGTGGGATTGAGGTACAGGTTTTCACTCTAAAAGAACAAAGCCTACCAAATTCCAAACGAGCAAAGCCCATCAAGTTCTTGAAGAACCATAAAGTATCCTGAGATGGAAGGGACCCTGGAGGATCAGGAGCCTTGGCATGGTGTGGAACACAGGGGAAATGCTCTTCCAGGGCATTCCTGTGCCTGTGGATGGCAGGAGGCACCTCCAGCCCTGCCCTGGGTGCCACAGCCAGGTCTGCACATCCCACCAGGAAATAGGAACACAAGGGTGGTCACACTTTAATCAAAATGTTTAAAATTCTTCCTGGACGTGGGGCTGTGGTGAAGCCAAACAGCAGCAGCAGGAGCTGTGCTGCAGGCAGAGCTTTGAGGCTGTTTTGGACATTTCTGCTTTTAGCTGAGGGAATGGGGAAGCCTGAAAACCCAAGGAACAAATCTTTCCCAAGGTGATTTTAGCTGAGTGAAAGGTGACAGATGAACTGAGCAGAGCCATGAAAACTCTCCTGAGGAAATACTGAATCACATCTTCACCTGCATTACCCTCTCACTGAAATGAGGTGTTTTAGAGATGCTTCAGGAAGGTAAAAGCTTTCTTGCTTTATCATACAAAAACTCCATTATTTCTCCAGAGACACTGACACTCAGGAATCCCCCCCTTGGTCCAGCACATGCTGCTGCTGTGCTGAGAAACCCCTCACAAAAATCACACAAATCCCAGGCTGGAAACCCCCTGAATACCTCAGTGCTGGGTTGTTTGAAGCATTTCCCTCCCTGCCTGTGGAGCCAGCGGGTGTGGAAGCAGAAATGAGGGTTTACCTTTGGTTTGTAGGCGTTGAGCATGGACATCTCCACGTTCTGCCCCCGGACGTGTTTGGGCTGCCTCTGCACTGGAGGGGACGAGGACTTCTGGTTGTTCCTGCAGATGCAGATGAAGAAGAACAGCAAGGCTATGGCCAGGGGAATGGTGACACTTGGCACCAGGATGTACAGGATTTCCATTTTATTCTTCTCCTTGGAGTCCTTGTAATCTGGTTCAGAAAGGAAAAAAAAAAGAAAACCCACAAGGAATGAAGCATCCCACGGAGTCAAACACATCACTGGGTCAACTAAAAGTGTTAAAAAGAATAAAACATCCTTTTTATATTGCTGAAATCTACCTTGAATGCTGTTTTATTTAATTAACATTAAAAGGAAAAATTCTTTTGTGGAAGAACAGTTCTGTGAGGACACACAGGAGCAGTCCCTGCCAGGTCAAACCTACTGATGGGCAGGAAACAGTGGAATGCTGTGACATGGCCTTGGCTTGGGCTGAAATGAAGTCATGGCCTAACACAGATCCACAGAAAAGGGAATTTCTAAGACACCTTATAGAAGAAGCTTGTGGGAAGTGCCCCTTCCCATGGCAGGGAGATGGAACTTAATGATTTTTAAAGTCCCTTCCAAGCCAGAGCATTCTGTGATTCCAAGAAAAGCTCTGGTGGGAATACAATCTCCTTATTTTGTGTCTTGATTTGAGATAATTTAAATGAGAACACTTTGGACTGAGCTGCTTCCCTTTAAAGGTTCAACCAGCCCCTTTCCAGCAAAAAGGAATGGGTACAAGGAGATGGAAGTGAAAGAAGAACTGCTCACTACAAGCAGAACCAGGCAAGCAGTGTGAGGTGCAAGGAAAGCTGGAGCAGGGATAGAAGGGAGGAATCTGAAGAGTTGGGAAGGAGGATGGTGTAACACAGCCCAAAGGCTCCCTGCAGCCCCTGCTTCCCCTCAGGGCTCTTCTCAGGGCATTTTAGAAATATTTTGGATCCCTCTTTGCCACTGCCCAGGGTGTGGGAGAGGGGAGAAGCTTTGGGAGGAGCTCAGGCAGCCCAGCAGGAGGACAAGGACAGATCCCCATCCTGAGAGCCCCAGGGACAGGGACAGGCACAGATCCCCATCCTGAGTACCCCGGGCAGGGCACACAGAGCCTGTCCTGCTCTGCCATTTCCCAGGAGCATTCCCAAGGCTTAGGGTGGAATTACACCCGGATTAACACGCTCGCTCCAGGGGACTGGAGGATCCCTGGAGCCCTGGCTGTTTCCAAGGGACTTGGGAATGCCTGAGGCTGCCTTGGGGAGCCTGGGAGAAGAGGGAATGTTTTATTATCCCTGCAGGGTCACTCCAGTTTGTTTGTCTGTGTTTTCCAGGCTGGATTTGTACAAGTGCTTAGCGGCCCACACAGATCTCTTTTATGCACTTCATTAAACATGAACTTGATCTGAAGCTTGGGCTCGACTCAAATTGTGACAGAGGCAAAGTTCAAATGGTTCTGGATGTCACTTTGCATAACCCCTCTCCTCTTTCAGGCTCAGGCTGTCCTCTGCTCCCCCCACGTCCTCTCTGATCATTCCTTTCAGATTAAGTTGTGCCATCTGGTTTTTAATTGAGAGGAGAGGTAGCCCAAATATTCCTCCAGCCTTTGGGAAACAGGAGAGGACTAAAGCACCACGCCCACGGTGTTCTCCCTGTTCCCAGAGAGGCAGGGATTCACACACTGCCCTTCCCAACCTTCTTAGGCTGGGCTTTGCTAAGCCTCATGCTCGAATTACCCCGTGTTTCACATCTCCCCGCAATCAGGTTGACAAACTTTGATGAAACAAATCTCTCACAGCTTGTGAGATACAGTTGAAGAAAGGAAAAGAAAGCAGCAGCACGAGGCAGAGGGAGACCTGGGCACCAGTTCATCACCTGAGCTATTCCAGTCAAAGGCAATTATTATTCTTATTAAGTAGCAGCCCCCGCCGTGAAGCCTCATTAGGTTAATGGGCTTCTTGGGAGCCACCCTAATTAAATCCATTTCCCATCTAGGCATGTCCTGCTGAGGCAGAATGCACAATACTGATTAAAAGGGGCCTGAAATGGCTCTTTCAGCCAGTGCAAAACCAGCAGAATGCAAGTCCCACACAGTATTCTGGTTTTAATATGCAGATTAGCACTTAACAATTCAATTACTGCTCACCTGATCCAGCTCTGCTTGTATTTAGAATAATAAAGCCACAGAACTACAAGTACCATTTAAGGCAGCAGTGAGAGGTTTTGGCAATTAAAACCTTTGTCAGGAATTATCCAGCCCAGCCAGTCTATCTCAGTTATTATCAAGCAAAGCTGGAAAATCAGAGAGTTTGGCTCCAGAAGAGTCCCAGATCCCAGATCAAAAGCCTGAGCCAGGCCTGGCACCTCAGAGCCCATCTAGAGGGGACTGGCACAGGAATCTTCAGGATAGCTTTTTGTTATTTCTGTTGAAATAACAGCAGAAGAGGTAGAGGACTGGAAAAGTGTGGGGAAAAATCACAGAATTGTTGAGGTTGGAAAAGCCCTCAGAGATCAGCAAGTCCAACTCTTAAACCAGCACTGCCAACACAGCTCAGGCCTTGTTTCAAAAATAGAGGTGACATTGCCAGGTCCTCTAAAATGGATTTGAAATTTGTGTTCATACAACTGCCCTGGCTGCATTTTGGGTTTGCAAAATGAACAAAAAAGGAGATTCAGCTCTCATTTGATTCTGCTTTTCAGAGACCTGGGGGGAAGTGAGCGGAAGTCCTGAACAAATGGGTCCTAATTGTTTTATCTGCATGTAGAAACAACAATATTGATAACAGGCCAAGAAAAAAACCCACAGCCATTTGCATGGACATGCCAGAAATCCACACAGAAATGTTGTGGAAATTCAAAGTTTCACACCAAATTTGATGTTGCCTACAAGTTGTCACAGCAACATTCACCTTTCCCCTCGGAAAGGCGATACCTTTGATGTTCCTGCTCCAGAGCCAGAACCAAATTACATTTTTTCTGGTTATGGTTATGAACATTCCTGCAGTGAAACACGTTCTGAGTCTGCTCCAAAGTCTTTTCCAATTAATGGAAAGATGGGAATCGATGCCAAAATGGGATCTAAATCATGTTCTTACTGAAAGGGTAGATCGGGGGGAAGGCAGATAGTCTGGGCTCTATCATGTGCATCTCAAACCCTCTCCCTGTTTTTGGGCCCCCACAAGAAGAAAGCCCATTTGGGTTCATCTTGGGGGCAGCCCTGGCTGGGCTCTTGTGCTGCCCAAGGTGGATCCATGGAGGAGATCCTTGGAATCAATCCCTGCTTTATTCTGGAGCTCTGCCCAGCCTCTGCTCCAGGGCAGCCTGCACAAGGCACCAAAACCCTTTCCCTTTCCCCAGCTCCAGCCCACACCAGGTCAGGCATTACCACAAGCTGGGACATCGCAGAGCTCTGACTTGAAGTTCTCATCCAAGGTGAAGCACCACGGGGCGTCCTTCTGGTTCCCGGGGTTCCTGCAGTAGGAGTGGCCCCCGTTGAGCTCGGGGTACCTGGCAGCAGTGAAGGTGTGGGTGTGGGGGTACTGCGAGTTCCAGGGCTGGCACTGCCGCCCCGAGCGCGTCACGCTCACCGTGCCCCGGTAATCCACGCCCGTGCTGTTGTAGCACCTGTGATCTGCAAAGACAACCAAAAGACAAAGCCACTCTTCATTTGTGAGTGTGTGATGGTCGCTCTTGAAGAGAAAAACTGAAACCTGAGCTGAAAAACCCCAACAGCAACTGCAGGCTCTGGAGCAGAGCAGCATCTCAGGATGAGCTGTCAGCACCTCCCAGTTTGGGACACGGGCTCCCAGTTTGGTGTGGCTGCAAGGCAGGGCCTTGCATTCACATTCCTGGGAGGATTTATGCTCCTGTAGTGAAAACAGCTTCTGCCAAGCATTTTTAGTAAGAGGTACACAAAAGAAGGCAAAACTACAGTGGGAAATGGAATTGCAGCCATTCTTGCCATAGGCAGGCGGACAATTTGTGGGAGCCACGTTTTATATTTGGCTGTTCAGACGTGCTAGGGTTGTGAACAGGCTGCAGCCCTGCCTGATCAAAGAGTGGGCTCAGCCAGAGCCTAAAATTAGGCTGGCTTAGGCAGGACAGCCCTACAAGTGTTCCTCCTGACAAGGATCCTTCCTGTGGTGCTGCTGGAGCACGTCAGGCTGAGGTGGGAGGAAGATGAAGCAGCAGGGAGGATGAAGCCACCCATATTCCTCAGCATCCAAATGCTTACACTCCATAGTTTCCAACCCCTTATTACTTACAAAAGACCTGATAAAATCCTTCAGAATTCCTGAAAAAATCCTTCAGAATTCATGAAAAAATGCCCCAGAATTCCTGAAAAAAATCCTCCAGAATTTCTGAAAATATCCTCCAGAATTCTTGAAAAAAATCCTTCCGAATTCCTGAAAATATCCTTCAGAATTCCTGAAAATACCCTCCAGAATTCCTGAAAGATTCAGAATTTGTGAAAATATCCTCCAGAATTCCTGAAAGAATTCAGAATTCCTGAAAAAGTGCTTTAGAATCCCTGAAAATACCCTCCAGAATTCTTGGAAAAAACCTTCACAATTCCTGAAAATATCCTCCAGAATTCCTGGAAAAAACCTTCACGATTCCTGAAAATATCCTCCAGAATTCCTGAAATCCTCCAGAATTTCTGAAGATATCCTCCAGAATTCCTGAAAATATCCTCCAGAATCCCTAAAATAAATCCTTCAGAATTCCTGGAAAAATCCCTCAGAATTCCTGGAAAAATCCTTCACAATTCCTGAAAATATCCTCCAGAACTCCTGGAAAAAACCCTCCACAACTCCTGGACAAAACCCTCCACAACTCCTGGAAAAAACCCTCCACAACTCCTGGAAAAAACCCTCCACAACTCCTGGGAAACATCCTCCACAACTGCCATCCTCCACAACTGCCATCCTCCAGAACTGCCATCCCCGCTGGACAAGGCGGGGGACTCGGGCGCGAGCCGCGGAGCGCGGCCTGGCTGGCGGAGGCACCGGGACCCCTGGATCCCGGCCGGCCCGCGGAGCTCCGCAGGGCAGCGCAGGCGCTCACCCCACCCGCGGCCGCGTGTCGCACACTCACTCTTGTTGATGGGGTCGGCCATGGGAATGCCGATGCGGATGCAGTTGACGGCCTCGGGGCTGTCGGGCTGGGGCAGATCCTCGCAGTTGGGCAGCTTGAGCCTCATCAGGATCATGGGGTTGGACCTGGCAAAGATGTACTCGGTCTGGCACAGCACGTTCTCCAGGATCTCGCACTCGTCGCGGCACAGATCCCGCGGCTTGGGCGCGGACGAGGTCTCGTCGCAGTAGGGGAAGGCGTAGTGGCACAGGGAGGGGATGGCAAACTGGGAGCACTTGTCCGACAGGTGGCTGGAGGTGCCGATCATGGTGAAGGCAGCTGGAAAAAAAACCCACGAGTTTGGTGACCGCTTTGGGAGGCGCTCCCGGGACGAGTGGAGAGGTGAGAATCTGGACTCCATGTTTCAGAAGGCTGGTTGATTATATTATGGTATCTATTCTATATATTATTATATTATCATATCTACTAAATATATACATATATGTATATATATATGTAGTAGATATATATAATATGTATATGTAGTATTTTATATATATATAAAATATACTATGTAGTATTATAATAGTATTATATATATATAATACTACATTAAAACTATACTAAACAAATAGAGAGAGAAGGATTCATCAGAAAGCTAGAAAGAACAAGAAAGGAATGCATAACAAAGACTCCTAACTCCCAGAGAGCCCGATGCAGCTGCATCTGTGACTGGCTATGAATTGCAAACAACCAACAGCTGCACCTGTTGCATTCCGGAGCAGCAGAGAGTTATTGTTTGCATTTCTCTCCTGAGGCTCCTCAGCTTCCCAGGTGGGAAAAACCCTACTAAAGGATTTTTCATCAAATATCATAGCTACACGCGAAGGTTTGGCTTGGGAACCTTTTCCCTGGGCTGTTGCCTTCCCAGAAAAACCCTCGCTTCCCACTGCAGCTGTGCAGGTGATGGACAGGAGTGCACAGCACTAATTACACTGGAAGTTATTAACCATGCTGATTTCACTGACAAGGAAAATACATCAGGTTTTCATCAGGGGATTAATGCTAAGCTCATTGCCCAACCCCCAAACATAATCATTCCTTTTCTCTCCTGAGCTTTAATCATTCCTTTAATCATTCCTTTTTTCCTCCCAAATAAATTAGAATAATTTAAAAATTCATGTAATATTTGGAAGCCCAACAGGTAAGCCCCAAATTCCTGCACTGGTTCCTTCATGGAAGGTGACAATCCCAATACAACCCCAAATAACTTTTCCAGCTAAATGCTGGACGAACTGGTGGCTCCACCCTGTCTTTCTTGGGGAAATGAAGCCTAGTTTTGCAATGCTGACAGTGTTTGGAAAGGGAAAAGAGAAATTTGGGATATTCTGACAGCAAGAAAAAAAAATCTGAATATAGAGATGATTACCAGGGCTAGGATCAGACCAAGTTAATTTATATAAAAAATAGAGAATATCATGGTATCTATGATATCTATGAATTCAACAACCCCATCAGCATCCCACAAAAATAGTGGCAACTGGTTCTCCCCTAAATCCAAAGGAATAATACTGCTTGCAGGATTATTTATGCAGCCTTTCCCAGCACCTAAATTATTCCAGCCACGTAAAATCAACTCAAGTTTGTTCCCTTAACAGCAGGTAACAGCAGCACTGAGTCTCCCAGAAGCTGTAAACACACAGCTCCTTCTCCCTGAAGAATCTTTTTTCCCAGATGTTTTGGGAGGAGCTGGAGGAGCAGAGACTCAGACGAGTTCACGGCAAGAGGGAATAAAGCAAAGCAAAACAACATCGCTGTTTATAAAACTCCAGCAGCTTTTTGGGAGCGGTGGGGAAGCAGCCAAGGTGTTTTTACCCACCTGTAATCTGATTTTCTATCTCCCCCTGCATGTGCAGGGACTCCATGTAGATGGTTCTGTTGCCAATGAAGCGGGCGCAGGCGATGCCCCTGTAGGGCTGGCAAAACCCATCCTCCTCATACTCATCCCTGAAACCAGCCAGAAACACAAAAAGGTGACTGTAAAATGTTGAAAACAATTAGGATTATTTCCTTCTGTTCAACAAGATCTTGGATATTGGTTTGTTTAAATAAACCCCTTTCATCTGCCTGGTAAAAAGTGGCATTTCAGCTTAGCCAAAACACACATTAATGTTGTATGAAACGAGTGCTTTTAAGGCTCTGCTCAGAAATACACCCAGCTTTGATTAGAAGAGAAATACAAACTGCCTGGAAAAATAGGATTGATGTTTATTTAAAGCAGCTAACACATAGTTTTCTATTTTTGAACCAAGCTTGTTGCTTAATATTGATAAACACAGCAGGAAGAGTCATGCAGGCAGAATTTAAAGTGTATGTAGAAAATCCAACCTCTGCCAGCACCCATACCCTGGAAATAGGAAATGTTTGCTCAGCCTTCCCTGTGTGGCAACATCTAGTGCTAAAACAGAACCAAAACTGGGACAGGAGTTCTACAGACACATTTATTTCATTAGGTGCTTTCTTTTAGGCAACATAGGAGACATCTAATCCAGAAATCCAGATGGGAAATTATTTGCCAATGCTCTTCAAACAAAGCAAAGAAAGGAAATTGCTGAAGACCCAGGCAGACACTGGTATTTTGAATAATCAGCACTGAACAGGAGTTTAGTGGGGCTTTGAGTACATGATCCCTGAAATCCCAACTGCATGAATCAGCTCGTTCAATTCCTTCCTTTAGGATCCACTCAGAGATATTTTGCAGTGAGATTTTTGGGATGAATTTTCTGGACAGACACCTCGGCTCTGCTTGAGCTCCCAGCAAAAACGAGGAGCTTAATGAAAATTTGCTGATATTTCCTTTGTTATTCCTGCCCAGCCCATCCATGGCTCTCAAACTGGGATAAATGATACTGGAATATCCTCGGGATGATGACAGCCGGGTAGGGAACAGGTTACTGCCTTTGTGTGCAGAATTCTCCCTCCCCCAGATGCCAAAAACCCAACGGAGGAATCCCACTACGCCTTAATAAGGGAAAAATCAGAGCTTTTTTTTAATCAACTCTGCCATTAAGTTTAACAAAAGCCACTTTCATCCCCTCCTGAAGACCTTGGCTGTGAGAGCTTGGAAATGCAAATTCCCCGGGGGCTCTTTGAAGCCGCGCGTTCTTTGTGCGGGGAGCGCAGGCAGCGGCCGCTCCCGGTGCCCGGTCACCGCCGGCTAATGGGATTAGCGGGGACAGGCGCTGGGATCGCCTTCCAGGACAGCCCAGCCACCCCCGGGCTCCCAGAGCAGCGTCCCGGGATCCCCGCAGAGCTCTCAGCGAGAAGCCAAACCCCGGGGATTAAGCGCAGTAATTTATGAGTGTGAAGGAGTCAGCTCTGGTGACAAAATCTTTATTCTGCTGGCTCTTGAAGAGAAAAACTGAAACCTGAGCTGAAAAACCCCAAGAGCAACTGCAGGCTCTGGAGTGGAGTTCATCCTCTCATCATTAAATGCCCAGATAGGATATAATTAATTAGCCGTTTATAATTTTTATGGAATTATAGCATCATAAAATCCATAAGGTTGGAAAAGGCTGCTAAGATTCAGTCCAACCATTCCCCAGCACTGCCAGGGCCACCACTGACCACGTCCCCAAGTGCCACATCCCCAGGGATCTTAAATCCCTGCAGGGATGGCGACTCCACCACTGTGCCCATGTCTGACCACCCTTTCTGTAAAGCAAATTTCCAAAACATCCACCTGAGCTCCCCTAGGGCCGTTCCCTCTGCTCCTGTCCCTGTTCCCTGGAGCAGATCCCGACCCCCCGGCTGTCCCCTCCTGGCAGGAGCTGTGCAGAGCCACAAGGGCCCCCTGAGCCTGCAGGATAAATTTATCATGGAATTTCACTCGGGGACTGCACAAAGGCTCCTCCAAGGCCGAGCAGTGAGCAGGGACACCAGCTCACCTGGCTGGAAATGCCCTGAGGAGAGGGATTTTACAGAAAATCTCAGGAAGGAAGATCAGAGTAAAGAGGAAGGGCCGGGATGCCACCAGCTCTGCCCTGGGGCTGCATCCAGGGAATTCCCACAGGGAAAACAGTGATTAGAAGCTCCTGAGGAGCAGGAACTACTTAGGATTGTTTTGGAAATCAGCTCCATAATGGGCAGAAGAGCCAAACAAATGAAAGGAACAGGAGCATCAGGGTAGGACAGAGGGACCCTGAGCCTCCGCGGTCCCCCGGCCTCAGCTGGGAGGTGACAGGGACACAGAAAGGGCTGGCAGGTTTCCCTGTGGAACACAGCCCCCCAGTCACAGCTCTCCAAACAGAACATCCCACCGAACAGATGGTGAGGTGATCACCCTGTGCTTTCCAGCATTCCATCCCACCCCATCCCATCCCAACCCAGCCCAGAGCCGACACGAAACCCACAGAAGGATCCTACAGCTCAAACACATTCCCCACCTCCTGCTGCCCCCTGGCAGCGTCTGCCTTTAAACGCTGCTATTTGCAGCTTTGGCTTTAAACACGCATATACAGGGTTTGGCTTTAAACGCAGCTATTATCAGCTTTGGCTTTAAACACATCTATCAGGTTTTGGTTTTAAACACAGCAATCGGTTTTTGGTTTTGAACACATATATCAGTTCTTGGCTTTAAACACACCTATCGGTTTTTAGCTTTAAACACAGCTCTCAGTTTTTGGCTTTAAACGCAGCTCTCAGTCTTTGGCTTTAAACACAGCTCTCAGTTTCTTGGGATCAAGGCTGAGCCCGCGTTCCTTTCCCACCGCCCTGCCTGGCATCCCTCACCTGCTCAGTGTAAGGAATCACCTCATCCCTGTTCCGATGTGTTTCTGCTTCTTGACCCTGATCCCGCACAAGGAAGGGTCCCTTTGGCTCCAGCAGGATGGAAATTAGGCCTGGCCCAGCAATTAACGTGTTAATTGACTTACAGCCGAGTTTAAATCCTGATGATTAAGCCCCAACGAACTGGAAGTCAGTGCGAGCCTGGAGGCGGTTCAGGTTGGGATGGGTTTGAGCCACTTGTGCAGATTCTGCTGAGTGGGGAGGGCAGGAGCAACCCGAGCACAGCACGGCTCTGGGGTCTGGGGTCTGGGAGCTGCCCCACACCTCACTCCTGTGGAGTCTGCTTCTTTTTTGCCAGGGTCGGGATTAAATGCACAAGACGGAATTTCTTGTTGGGACTCAGATGTTTGTTAGTTCTTATCTCTGTCACATCTCACAAACCTGAGTTCCACAGCACTGCACTCTGACAAACCACAAATGGAGCCCCATCTCTCTCTCACAAGGACTTTTAAGGATAAACTGTCCAATTAAGAAATGACACCTGAATTATTTTTACTTTTACCCCAATAACCAGTTCCAACAGGTTCCTGCTGCTTGCACTGCCTGCACCCCACAGGGCCCCTCTGAGCACTGGGTGAAGGACAAAGAGCTGGATTTTAATCACCAACAGATGACTCAGCACTGTTAAGATTCTTTCTCTGCAGATTTGGTTCCCACTCTGTTTTCTGTTTCACTCTGTCAGTATTCCCAGCCTGGGTGTTGCTTTTGGATCCTGCTGCACTTCCCCCTGTGACAACACCTCTGGCTTGGTTAATAATAGCACCAAGGATTAATTTACACCGTGCTCAGGTGTCTCTGAGGGTCTGATTGCTCAAACTCACAGAAAGCCAAGCAGGAGCTTTGAAGGGTCCACAGCCAAAATCTCCCAGATCCCCTCCAGCCCAGCCCAGCCCATGCTCTGATTCCATCTCTTTATCTCAGCTGCTCCTGGTGTGAGGCTCCAGTGAATCCAGAGGCTGATCCCCCTCCCAGAGCAGCTTCTTTCTGAAATGGGGCAGAATTTCTGCCTCTGCAGCTTTTTGGGCATCCCCATGCAGACAAACATCAAGAATCAGATTGCAATATTGATTTTATTGGTTCACACTGAGCCTGGAGGGGCTTTGTGGCACCACCTCCTCTGCAAGTGGGTCCTGAACACAAACCAAAGTTCTCTGTCAAACTCCACAACATCCTGAATTTTCCTTGCCAGCCTTTTTTTTTCTACATTACCAGAAATCGCCCAGATTTAAACAACATTTCCAGCAAATGCCAACAACAAGTCCAGGAACTCAGTTCAGCAAAAGCTTTGTAGCCAGGCTTTAATGTGAGTTCATTTAGAAGAATTTAATATATGATAGAAAAACTGAACCCGTGAGATCATGTTGTATTTATTTTTACAATCCAATATATGAAAAAGCATATTTTAGAGATGCTGTAATTGTGTGGTCATTCCTGCCACACCCCATGGATTTCCTTTCTTTTAACCCAATAACCAACCAGCCGTTGGGTTATTAAAGTTGGGTTAAAAGTTGTAATTGGCTAAAAAGTCCAATGGGGACTTCTTAGCCAATTACACAAAACCACCCAAACCCATGGAGAAGAAGGAGAAGAAGGTGAAGAAGAATGAGTGGCCTCTGCCCTAAAACCTCCATCTTACTTTATATATATTACTAGATATACCTAGTATTCTAGTAATATATAAAACTTAAATCTCAATTATTCTATTAATATATAAAACTTAAAACTCCAAGTTTAAATAACTAAAAAATAAAATTAAAATATAATTTTAAATTTTAAAGAAAATAAATTATATATATATAATACCTCTCTCTTCCCATTTTTGCCTTAAGGAGGATTTAAATGAGTACCCTGCAAGAAAGAATCATAAATACAGGACTAATTTGGATATCTTGAGCAAAAATGCCCAGAGAGAACAGAACAAGGCAAGACAAAGTCCCAAACGTTCTGAGTGTCCCAAAAGCCAGCATGAATTAAGGTGTAAATGCAGAGAAAGTTGATTTATGAGAATTAACCAACTTGAAGAGTAAAAGCAAATAAATGTTGAATTATCTCCCAGATCTACCAAGTGGAGATGGAAAAGTTTTGGCTCTGGGGGAAGACTGCAGACATTTTTTTTCACTGACAAAGTGAAAGACATTTTGTCTTGCCATTAATTACAA